CCTTGCCTATAACCTCCTAGATTTTTCCAACTGGTTACAACAAGAAGCCCGTTGTCAGCCCAGAAGGGAAAGACCTTCTCACCCAATAAAAAGTACAACCATACTTCATGGTGCCAAAACTGCCCCTCATATGACCTCCTCTAAAGCCCGAGTTGCCCCACTTAAAGTTAGTCAGCCTCTCCCCAACACCTTATCTGAACGCTGTCCAGTGTGCGCCTATTGCAACTCTACTGAACATCATGTCAGTAAATGTGGTGATTTCCTCCAGCTCACCAAAGACCAGAGAACTAATTGGATCAAGGAACAGAGACGTGGTTGGCGATGTGCACGAGATCACTTTGCAACTCAATGTGACCTGAAGGGACGCTGCAGCCAGTGCAACGGGAAACACCTACACATCCTATGCAACATTAACCAAAGGCAAGTGCAGAATCTATATCTCGACCATCCTAGTGATTGCAATAAAGTACTACTGAAGGTAGTTGAAGTGACCCTGCAAAATGGAAACAAGTCCTTAGACACTTATGCCTTACTGGATGATGGGTCTGAAAGAACAATCCTGCTGCACCCTGCTGCCCAAACACTTCAGTTAAAAGGAAAATCTGAGAGCCTTAAGCTGAGAACTGTGAGACAGGATGTTCAGACTCTTAATGGAGCTACGGTGTCCTTCACCCTCATTCCTAAAGCGCATCCAACGAAGTCCTAAGTCATCAGTCAAGCTTTCACTGCTGACCAATTATCCTTGTCCGAACATTCTCACCCTGTGAAATCTCTCCAGCGACGCTACCCTCATCTCCGTCAGCTTCCTCTCAAACAACTTAATAAAGTCACACCCCTACTCCTCTTGGGGGCCGATCAAACACACCTGATTACCCCAACACAACCAGTGAAATTGGGCCCTTCTGGAGCCCCTGTTGCAATTAAAACCCGACTCGGCTGGACACTGCAGGGTCCTGCAAGGGATCTCACCAACTCTTCTTCCACTCATTTTCACTATATCTCCTTTAAATGTGAACCTGGTGACCCTGTAGAGCTACACAAGCCTAACTTCTGTGGTGCTGTATCCCTCAATCCATACCCCACCATCCCTGACCCCAGCCAATTTGCCACCTTCCAAGAACTCCTTGACTGCATGGCTACCTCCCTTCATGGGGCGGCAAATCCTCCATCAGCAGAAAACTACCGTGATGCAGAGACGGCAATCCTAAGACAAGCCCAGATGGATTAATTCATGGATGATTTGGCCTGCCTTCAAACCCAAAAGCCCCTTCTACCTTCAAGCCGTTTACTCTCCCTTGCCCCAGAGTTAGACCCAGCATCAGGGCTCATTCGGGTAGGCGGAAGATTACGTCAGAGTAGTGATCTACTCCCTGATGCCATTCATCCAGTTGTCCTGGAGCTGTAACATCCTATCACAAAACTTAAAGTTAAGGATTATGATGACCACCTACACCATCCTGGGGCAGAAAGGCTTTTTGCTGAATTAAGGAGAAAGTACTGGATTCTGAGGGGTCGTGAGTTGGTCCGAAAACATCAGCATAGGTGCCCTAAGTGCCAGCAGTTCCGTGCCCATCCTATTATTCCCCGAATGGCAGATCTTCCTCCAGCCCGCCTCCGCCTTTGCAAACCTCCATTCTACTCCACCGGGGTGGATTGCTTCGGGCCCTACACAGTAAAGATTGGCAGACGAGCTGAGAAGAGGTGGGGAATAATTTTTAAATGTCTGACTACTAGGTGCGTGCACATTGATCTACTCGGTCACATGAATACGGATTCCTTCTTGATGCCACTCCGGCGTTTCATTGCTCGTAAAGGTAAACCATTTGAGCTGCTCTCTGACAGAGGTACCAACTTCATTGGAGGCAATAAAGAGCTACTGGAATCCTATAAATCCTTAACCCCTGACCTTCAAGCAGCTCTGGCCAAGCAGAAGATTTTCTTCCAATTTAATCCTCCACACGCGCCCCACTTTGGTGGAACCTGGGAGTGCGAAATACGCTCCATCAAAATTGCCCTGGAGACCACCCTTGGTGCTCAAACTGTAAGTGAAGAGGTATTACGCACAGTCATGATTGAAATAGAAGGCATTCTAAATTCCAAGCCCTTAGGCTATGTCTCATCTGACATTGCTGATCCTGACCCTGTGACCCCTAATTTGCTGCTGATGGGGCGGCATGATGCTTCCCTTCCTCTCGTAACATATCCAGACTCTGAGCTGCACAGTCGCCGTCAATGGCGTCATAGTCAAATCCTTTCTGATCATTTTTGGGCTCATTTCATCAGAAATTACCTCCCCTCTCTTCAGTCCAGACAGAAGTGGCGCACCGACAATCCTAACCTGCAACCTAGCACTGTCGTCTTGATTCTTGATCCTCAACTTCCCCGATCTCAGTGGTCAGTGGGCAAAGTCATCTCCCTCCATCCCAGCAAGGATGGCCGTTGTAGGGTTGCTGATGTCCAAGTCAAGGACAGGACATATTTAGCACTGTTTATTGGTAAACTAAAACTCTGTATATTTGTTCCCCTTTATAGAAACCACACGCACAGCTACATGCACCAAAACTCCTTGGATGTACAATAAACTTTCATATACCTGGTTTGACTAGACTGGACCTGTTCTTACCGACAGCCCCACTGGCTTCAAGCTAGCTACCTAAACATCTGCCACCTCCTTAGCATGGTTCCTCCTTTTCAATAGGCATGCAAGTAGTTAATAGTGAGAATTGGTCCCTGTCCTAAAGTGTTACCACAAACTTCTAAAATATTAAATATTCAGCTCAAAGTCAGCTCATTTGACTAACCTTAGACTTTGCTGCCTCAATGCTGGAGTTCAGTTCTGATGAGATCATCTTCCCCCTCACAGAGAGAAACCGAACATTTTATTAATCTTGGTAAACTGGACACATTGCAGATGAACTTATGATTCCATCCATCAATCTTACCTTTCGTCACATCTGACAACTATAACATTTTCAGAGCCGATGCCGAGAACCGCTGCAGACTTTTTGATTGAATAATGACTCTAATAAGGAAAGCGTATGTTAAACATGCACAGGCAAACAGCTAACATGATCTGACCTTTTGCCTTACCATAACAAGACATGAAATATGCAAATTAGCATCAGTTTATCAGCACTTTTAAAAAACACTGCTGTGACACGTAATGTCTGACCTCCCAATCAGCGGGTCAGGAGGTAATAGCTGAAATGTGTTGTGCTATGTGTCTCATTGAGTAAGTGGAAGGGTCACAGCATGTCTGCTGAGAGTATAGGAAACAATAATGAAATCATGTACGTGCATGGAGGTGAACAGTGCCAGGCGAGGTATCGCAGACATCCCGTGGGTCTTCACCGCCGGAAAGAGATGAAACCTAGCCAACAACACACTGTACAGATTGGACATGGTGCCTCCTGCGGAGGAAGCCATTAGCTGTTTAATGAAATACAAATTATGGAAAAGTTCCAATGTTCATTTTTCAAAACGCAAATATAAATGCTTCTTGTATTTTTGTGCTTTCAGCTTGTTACCAGGACAAAAGATGCCATCTCCATCTTCCTCTGGCCATCCAATAATTGAATGCATTTTTCTCAGAACTACTTCCTCCATGAGTATAAAGACCGGGGATATTTCATAAGTGAACCTGTAAACAGAAAGGAACATACGTGCCTTGATGAAATATAAAAGAAATCGGGCAAAGTGGGAACAAACTTTGCTTTAAAGTCAGTTTGGAAATGGAAAATCTATTTTCTAAATGCATCTTTATGATTTCAATGAAAATGTCATATATGTCATGACTTCTGTAATCATTTAGTCCACTTAAGGCAGGGGTGTCAAACTCAATTTCTGGAGGGCTGCAGTCCTGCAGAGTTTAGTTCCAGCCTTGCTCCAACACACAAACCATGTAGTTTTTAAATAAGCCTGAAGGACTTGATTAGTTGGATCAGGTATGTTTAATTAGGGTTGAATCTAAACTCTGCAGGGCAAAGCCAGTAGAAGGCAAGCCTGCAACCTTTAGCCAAAAAAGCATAACGGCTAATGCTAACGGCAAGGAGACCAGAGGCTGTTTTTTTTTTTTTTTTGAATGGATGCCAATGGAGGAGAGGCTTCACTACGCTGAATAAACAGCTTTTTAGAAGAAACAGCTCATCATTTAATGAACCGACAGCCTATCGGCTAATCTTCAACATGTTTTACACTAAACAATACTTTTGGATTGAACAATTTTTAGAGTTTACACCGAAAAAAAATGTCACTGACTTTTTGCAACAGGTGGGATTCAGCTTGTGGCAGTTCTCATTCATTCCTATGGTATCCATAAACAGCAATTGAGTGTCGCACAACTCTGACTGAAATTCAATGACGTCAAGGCTGTAATGTGATTTTTTATTAAGGAACATGTGATCCAAGTTGACCGGTACATTTTCTCCAATAGTAAGCAATACAGACCCTCTCATCTCCCTGTAGTAAGACAATCTCTGCTGCAGGCCTGTGGCCCTCCAGGAACTGAGTTTGACACCTGACTTAAAGGAATAGTTCACCCAAAAATGAAAATGTTGTCATTTATTCGCCCTCATGTCATTCCAAACCTACATAAATTTATTTCTTATGTTGAAAAAAAAAAAGAAAATATTTTGAAAAATTTTGAAGAACCAAACAGTTGCTGGTCCCCATCGACTTCCATTCGACTTCCATCAGCTGTTTGATTACCAGCATTCCTCAAAATATCTTCTTTTATGTTCAACATAAGAAAGAAACTCACAGGTTTGGAGCGACAACATTTTCATTTTTAGGTGAACTATCCCTTTGAACTTGCCCCTTTCTTACAATACACAGCAAGCTTACATTCAATCAACATCTTTCTGTATAATTTTCCTGATGTACATCATGATATGGAAGAAATGATCTGTCTCTACTTCTCTAACATGATGACTTTAACATACGTAACTTATTGTTTTTGTGTTATTTATCTCAAGCTTGATAAAACAAATATAATGAATAAATTCCCTATGACTAACTGCAAAAAAAAATGTGGTCTTTTGAAATCCACATCTTACACTGTTTAAAAGTTTGTCTTCGGTAAGAGTTTTTAATTAATTTTTTTAAGCAGTCTCATGCTCACCAAGGCTGCATGTATTTTGATAAAAAATACAGTAAATCAACGTTGAAACAGAATTAGTTTCATCCCTATACCTAATTTTAAATATGTTGCAACCATCCCTGGCCGCCCTTACATTTATTTTTCTGTTCATTCATAATTATAATATGAATGTTGAAGAAATTAAACTCTTGACTTACATGTTTGTATTTGCTGTGGACGTCAACCATTCTCCTGCCAGACCAATGATGTCAAGTCCAGTTGACAGCTGGTTGAAAAATCTTGGATGGCCTGACAACATTAAAGGACAACATTTACAAAAACCTCCACTAAATAACCCATGTTATTTTGCTTGTTCTTACCTGTTTTAACTCCATATTTAAGTGTGTATCTGCAGTCCACCAACAGCTGCTCCAGGTTATCTGGTTGGTCAGGGAGCTCCAGGCTGAAGCCCTCCAGGCCTTCCTTAAGCTGGTGAGGATAGTGGAAATCTAGAACTTTGGAGCTGCGTTTGAGGGATTTACTGATGTAGGCCAGCAAGATGTTTACCAGCTCCTGGAGGAAGTGCTTGGTTGTTTCCTCTCCGTCCTCAGCAGGGAGCAGATCTACAAGCACAAAATGCACATCATTCTCACAAATGATTTGTGATTCAGGTCCAGTACATTCACGAAAAGGGTTTTTTGGCATATTGATTACCATTTGTATAACCACAGTTTTACTACAAATACCATAAACTATGGTTAGTGTAGCAAATCATGGTTAATTTGTGGTTACCATGGTTTAAACACATAACCATGTTTTTTTTTTTTTTTTGGTTTTTATTTGTAGTAAAACCATGGCTCATTTCCATAAGGGTATGAGCACTATGTATTGGCTACAATGAAGTTGCAAACGACATTTTTTCTCTCTGCATCACATTATACAACAGGTTGGGCTGCCAATCAATGTCTGAAGGTTACCCTATAATTTACTGTCTACCAGCATGGCTTCTTAACTTCTTTCTACAGCAGCTTGTTTCAACACAGTGAGCTATTGCGACACAGTTCTGTGGTTTCATTTGCATTTTTCATTTTCAAACATTTGCAAGCGCTGCTAATGCAAACAATTTGAATGCACAATATTGAATGAAAATATTTACTTTGTGGGAGTAATTGTAGCTAAATTAAAAATACATCTCTTAGTTTAATTTAATTTCAATCAATATTACATTTACATTTGCTTTTCATGTGGAAAAGCTTTTATCCAAAAAGGCGTATAGTGCAAGTTATACATTATATCAATTCATTTCATTGAAACACTATTTGAATAGATAATTGAATGTCAAACCACACAATTTGCACTTGCTTTCTCTAAGTTCAAACATGTTTTGATCAAAATATTCATTACATTTGGTATCAAACTGAAAAGAGTGAATCATCCCACAATGCTGGGCTGTATTTCTTTTCAGAAATTGTTTCTAGTACCATCATTGTACTGCAAGAGAGAAGCTCAGACCTCTACCTTTGCTGTGGATGCTGAAGTCATGGGCTACGCACCCACTGTCATATTTCAGGCTGTCATCAGTGTTTCCTGAAGAACCTGTGTCCTTTTTGCTCTTGTCTAAATGCCGCCTATCAGCTTGTGTTAACTCCATAATGTCTCCTGGAGACCTGCACACACATCAAAATACAAGCTAAAACACCCACAGACACAGATACCAGCTATTTTACTATTAGATATTTATTTATATTTTGAATGTTTTGCATTTTTATATTTTCAGTTCTCATTTTAATTTCCGTTTAAGTAATTCTGATTTTTTATTTGACTATTTCTATTTAGCTTTATTTTATTTTCATTTCAGTTTTAGTTTCACCAATTTTAGTTCATTTTCAACTTATTTTACTTAAGAAAATTGCCAAGGCATCATTTCTAAATTCTTTTTAAGTTTGTTTACGTTTATGTTCTTCATCTAATATTTTGTGTATGCTTTATTTCAGCTTTATTTCAACTAATGAAAACAACTTATAGTTTAAGTTAGTTCTAATAGTTTTAAATAACAATAACACCACTGTCAGACACAAACAAACACAACTTCAGAAATTACATTATGCCACTTCAATGAAAATCAAAACCGAAATGGTTTGAGATCAGCACAGTGAAAAGCCACTTATTTGAACATGAGCACCAATCACTTATGTTAACAAAAATAACTGCATAAAATTATTAGGAAATTGTACAGTATGGCAAAAATTAAAAGCACTGAATGGCATTCTAACATGTTATAAAAAAAACAAAAACAACAATAGGTCAATGTAGTTTACCTTCTCATTGAGGCGTCCACTCTTGCGGACTGTTAATATGTAGAGTCCGTGCCAAATGTCTGAGAGTTATAAAAGTCCCAGCCTCAGCCCCAGGGCTAAAACTCAACCAACCTTCAGTCAAACTAGGTGTGGTCATAGTGCATAGCTTTTCATCCAAAATAGAAGCAATGCTATTACATAAGGATGAAAACGCACGACCTCGTCACAGTTTCAGACTCTCTCTCTTCTTTTGTTAACTTATATGACAGATGCCTAGGCATGAAAAAAAGCAGGTTTATGTGAAGCAACAGAAGCACTACTCATCAAGGCCAAATATTTCCTTTTTATAAATCCTGCAGGCTTGTTTTCAACATGCTGTAGGAAAAAAAAAGATCAGAATCTGACTTGTCAGATTTTAGCAAGTTGTTATGAAAGCTTCTGTTTAAATCTAAAATCTTACTGACAAATGAGTATCAAAATCCACCATGCATACTGTTATTGAGGAAACAAAACGTTTTAAAACATATCACAGTATTGTATAAACATATACACTCTACAAAGAACCATTCAGTCAAAGGTTCTTTAAAGAACCATCTCTTTCTTACCTTTTTTATAACCTGAAGAACCTTCTTTCGCCGCAAAGAACCTTTTGTGAAACAGAAAGTTTCTTCAGATGTAAAAGGTTCTTCTATGGCATCGTGAAGCACCTTTATTTTTAAGAGTGTACAATGTTTTTTTTGTCTTTGATGCATATCAGATTTCATTTCGTCCATATGTCTGCATTTTGATATATAGAAGCTGGTGACTTTTCATTAAGGTCAGGCCAGCAGAGATCCTATTTAAGAGGAGCACAGAGGAGCTCAGTCTTTCAAATGGTGTGCAAATAGCTTGGGCAAAGTGAATAGAGGGAACAGCGAGGGAGAAATGAAGGCTTGTTTTTATTATTTATTTTCATGGTTTTTAATCAGGCTGACCATGCTGCTTCAATCAGTGTCATTGGTTAAATGATTTCTATGTTTAGCCCTTGAACATTACCACACTGTAAAATCCAATAGTTTACCTTACTTAGATATAATTAGTTATCTTTACTTAGTTGTTATACTTACTCGGTTTTATTAAGTAACAGCTAATTTTAAGGCGAATAAAACAACTTGCTGCAATGAGTAACTCTTACTTAAAATATTCAAGTAGCCACAACAAAACCGATGACATTAATACACCAGTGGGAGGCAGCAGTGCGCTAATGTGTTGCTAATGTGCAACAAAACAACAGAAGAAGTACGGAAGGTTAGAGAGCATGCGCAACAAGCAACGGTTCTTTGAATTTGTGCGCCGAATTTGCTGAGATTGCTTGCATTTTTACCACTGGACAAAGACTGATTACTTTTATACAATAATAATAAGGTAAGTTTCAAAAAATAATTGTCAATGTATCTTTTTGTGTGCTGCTAATTTTAACTGACTAACCTTTTGTCAGCGGTGTTTGCTAACAGATACCTTTGCTATTCTGCTGTTAGAAAAAAGACTAGAATTTAAACTGAATGAGCTCATTGTCTTGCAGTAATTATGTCTTTGCTGTGTTGAAACACCTACTACTGTAATACAGAGGAAATGCTGCTTTTCAATTGGTTTTATGACTGAGGCCTCAAGTAGATGCCTGGCAGAGCCACCGTAAAAGCGAACGGCAAAATCCAGAATGGTATCTGACAAGTTGATCCACTTGTGACTTCGTCTCTCAGCACAAAGCACTGTAAAGGTCCTTGCACACCGAGTTCACAGAAATTTGTGGTCTTTTTGTTTGCTGCTGCTGCTCTATGTAATCAGAGTGTGAATTTGTAGATTTTCTATAGCAAAACTAAAATGTGTTTAAAAGTGCGACTGACCAAATCGTCTGGCTCATGTTGCTAAGCAATACTGCTTAGTAATTTACTGACTTTTTTAAAACATAAAAATAAGATATTTAAACCTTCAACTAAACCTTTAAAATGAACTAGATATTTGCACTACTGGCAGAACAGGCGTACATTCAGGGCTATTTATACAAAGTCAATGAACACTAGTGAAAAATAATTTATACTAAAATGTATTTGAAATACATTTATTTCATGCTAAGTATACTACAAATACATTTACATATATATGTACTTGATAAAATACCCTGCAATTGTACTTTTAATGTACTAAACTGGTTTACTTAAAGTCTGCTAAATTGGAACAACTAATTTTGTACTTAATGCACTTTAATTGTGAGGTAGTAGTGCTGAAGTCCAACTAAAGCCGAACTGAAGTAAATTTGATTGTGCTAAAGTGGAACTATTGCAAGTATACTTTAGGTACACTTTAAATATCTTGCATTTAAAGACCGATATAATTCAAAGATCATACGATCCTCATCAATAGTGACATTAAAACACATTTTAGGCTTAATATTAAGAAATGTGCATTGTGCACAAGTAGTACTCCAAATAAAGTGTAATTATAATTTTTACATCACTAAGTCTCGAGCGATATGTCAGTAAATATGTTAATAGATTTGAATATACTTAGTATGAAATAAATTTACTTTATAATACTTTTTTTTTTTTACATGTATTTTATAATACATGTATTATATAATGTTGTATTTGTGAGTGGCAAAACCTTTTTTTGGGGGGGCCACATTCATCTACGTTTACCAAAACTGAAGAATAAGGAAACGTCTTTTAAATAGAGAGAAAGGTATTACTGGAATGAAGATTGAAACTGAAGAAGCAGTTGTGCTTGTTTTCTTTTGAGAACACAGGGCTATTTATATTCTGTATAAATAGCCCTGAATGTACGCCTGTTCTGCCAGTAGCGCAAATATCTAGTTAATTTTAAAGGTTTAGTTGAAGGTTTAAATATCTTATTTTTATGTATGTATTCTTATTTATTTTAAGTAAATTACTAAGCAGTATTGCAATTTGCTTAGTAAATCCTAATTCTGTGTTTTTGGTCAATTTATGCAATAAATACCTGTGACTGTACTTTCACTCATGTGTTGTGTTTTATATGGTTGAGAAGTGGTTAGGTTTAAGGGCATTGCACACTGAGTCTAAAATGTAAAAAAAAACATAATTATGACCTCATGTTGTGTCAGTCACGTTTACACACTGTCTCAGAAACTTTCATCCATCATAAAAACATTCGGATGGGGTTCGATTTTCTGCGTTTTTCACATCAGCAGCAAGCATTTTGAGAGATGTTTTGACACCGCTGGGGGGGGGGGGTTTAGGATGATTCTAAAGGCAAAAGTGTCAGAGTTATGTCCAACTTCCTCTGATGTCACGCTGACGTGTGCCAAAAAACTCTTGCGACGTCGAGGCGGCTGTGTCGGATTGCATGATGTCAAAAGCATGATGGGAAACAACTGACTGACGACACAGCTTAATGCTCATTGGTTCAGACAACTGTGATGAGGCTTTCTCTTCTAAAATGTTTTATTTTGTATCTGTTTCCATGTGATTATGTATTTAAATTATGCATGAGTGTTCCCAAACACTATGAAAGTGCGATCTCTGTGTGAGATATGTGATCAGAGGCGCCGCTAAGGGGGGAAGTTAGGATGATTCTAAAGGCCCACGCACTTTTGGGGCCCCCAGAGATCTGTTTTATTAGTAGTAACAGTAGTGGTAGTAATGCAATGGAAATTATAAATGTATCTACCAAAGAGTTACAAATAAAAAATGTGCATTTCCAGCAAAATTATCTCCTCCCATTCACTGCATGGTTTCGTCCCGTCCTACATAGCCTAGAGTCACTGAGTGAGATCAGATGGCAAACTGACAAATTAGAGATGTCTTCGAGTTCGAGGGGTTGGCAAAATGAGCCGGACGATTTGGTCAGTCGCACTTTTAAACACATTTTAGTTTTGGTATAGAAAATCTACAAATTCACACTCTGATTACATAGAGCAGCAGCAGCAAACAAAAAGACCACAAATTTCTGTGAACTCGGTGTGCAAGGACCTTTACAGTGCACTAAACTTAACACGTTGAAAATAATACACAATAAACATGTCTGTCAAAACGATCTCAAAGGAAGCTTTTAGCTTTTATATCAAGGAGTGAATTACTCATCCACTGTTTAAAAAAAAATACTTTAGCTGGGTTTCCACAGGCAGGGTCACAATTATCTACAGTGACAACCTAAAGGTTTTTGGGTTAAGGTTCATAATGTAGAACATTTTTAACATTGTATGCTGTATGTGCATAGGTAGCTAGCAAACAAGGAATACAGCTGTTAAGCTAATAGTCACATTTAGCTGAGTAAGATCATGATTGAGAAATGTTGGATACTGCTGGAAATGCTG